CCTCATCCTCACCCTCCTCAACCCGCTCCTCCTCATCCACCTCCTCCGCCTCCATCTCCTCTTCCCTCCACCTCTTCATATTCCTCCCCCCTTATTATGTTCCTTCCCGCTGGATTCCTCAGGCGGGGTTGGGCAAGGGGATGAAGGAGCAGAAGCGTCCTGTTGCCGAGACTCATGACGTCCAGGCCCTCCTGAGGTGAGGTTACGGGCACCTCCAAGACCCCGGGGAGGTACATGTTCTCCTGGCGTGCCCCAGTCAGCACCGCCGCACACTCCTCCTCCTCCTCCCTCCTCCTCCTCCTCCTCCTCTTCCTCCTCCTCCTCCTCCTTCTCATCCTCCTCCTACTCGTCCTCCTCCTCCTCCACCTCCTCCTACTCCTACTCCTCATCCTCCTCCTCATCCTCCTCATCATCATCATCATCATCATCAGCAGCATCATCATCAACATCATCAACAGCGGCATCATCCTCATCGTCATTGCCAGCATCATCATCATCATCATCATCATCATCATCATCATCATCAGCATCATCATCATCAGCATCAGCATCATCATCAGCATCATCAGCATCAACATCAGCATCATCATCATCATCGGAATCATCGTCATCATCATCATCATCATCAGCATCATCACCATCGTCATCATCATCAGCAGCAGCACCATAATCATCAATATCAGCATCATCATGCTCATCATCAGCGTCATCGTCATCGTCAGCATCAGCATCATCATCATCATCATCATCATCATCATCCTCATCCTCATCCTCATCCTCATCCTCATCATCATCATCATCATCATCATCATCAGCATCGTTAGCATCATCATCAGCATCATCATCAGCAGCAGCATTTCATCGTCAGCATCATCATCGTCGCCGTCGTTGACACCATGATCGTCGTCATCATCATTAACATCATCAGTATCATCATCAGCAGCAGCAGCATCAGCATTATCCGCGTCATCATTAGAATCATCATCTTCTTCATCATCGTCACCGTCGTCTTCATCGTCGCCATCGTCGTCAGCAGCGTCATCATCATCATCATCATCATCATCATCATCATCATCATCATCGTCATCAGCATCATCATTAACAACAACACCACGACCATCATAATAAACAACGCCATCCTCTGTCTCGTTAGCATCCTCTGCATCATCCGCATTATCAGCATCAGAAGCATCATCGTCAGAAACAGCATCATCAGCAGCATCATCAGAGTCGCCAGCATCATCATCATCATCATCATCAGCAGCAGCATCATCAGGGTCATCAGCCTCACCCTCCTCATCAACATCCTAATCTGCATCAGCACCGTCAGCATCATTATCAGCAGCAGCATCATCAGTAGCACCATCGTAGTAGCATCATCTTCAGCAGCATCATCATCATCAGAGACGCCATCGTCAGTAGCACAATCAGTATCCCCCACAGCAGGATCATCATCAGGATAATCCGGATCATGAGCATCATCCTCCTCCTCATCGTCATCATCCCTATCCGCATCATCAGCATCAGAAGCATCATAATCAGAATCAGTCGCATCATCGGCAGCATCATCAGCGTCGTCATCCTCATCATCAGAATCATTATCAGGATGAGCAGCATCACCCTCTTCATCAACATCGTCAGCCGCATCCACGCCATCATCATCATCATCATCATCATCATCATCATCATCATCATCATCATCATCATCATCATGAGTAGCAGCATCGTCAGCAGCATCAGCATCAACGGAATCACCACAGTTACCATCAGCATCATCATCATCAGCAGCAGCATCGTCATCATCATCACCATCATCACCATCATCATCAGTAGCAGCATCAGCATCATCATCCTCATCGACATCATCAGCCGCATCCGCACCATCATCATCAGCAGCAGCATCATCATCTACATCAGCATTATCATCAGCATCATCAGCATCATAATCCTCATAAGCGTCATCCGCAGCAGCGCCGCCGTCATCATCAGCATCATCATCTGCATCATCAGTATCTTCATTACCCTCCTCGTCATCATGATCATCAAAATCATGATTAGCACTATAACCATCATCATCAGAATGATCATCATCACCATGATCAGCATCATGACCATCATCACCATCATCATCACCAGCATCACCATCATGACCAGCATTAGCATCTTCCCCCCTCATCATCAGGATCATCCGCCTGCGCATCAGCATCATCACCATCATCATCACCATCATCATCATCATCATCATGATCCGCATCAGTAGCAGCATTAGCATCATCATCACCATCATCAGCATCATCATCATGAGTATCATCATCCTCATCCTCCTCATCATCAACATCCTCGGCCTCATCCGAACTGTCATCGCCATCGCCAGCACCATCACCATCATCTTCATAATCAGCAGCAGCATCTTCAGTAACATCATTTCCAGCATCAGCATCAGCAGCATCATCAGCGTCACCATCAGCATCCACATCATCAGAATCAGACTCGTCAACATCATCCCCCCTCATCATCAGGATCATCCGCCTGCGCATCAGCATCATCACCATCACCATCACCATCATCATCAGCATACGCAGCATTTGCATCACCATCAGCATCACCAGCATCAGCATGAGGATCGTCAGCATCATCCTCCTCATCATCAGCATCCTCAGCCTCATCCGAACTGTCATCACCATCGCCAGCATCATCATCATCCTCATCATTATCATCAGATGCAGCATCATCAATAGAATCATCGCCAGTATCACCATCAGCAGCATCATCAGCGTCACCATAAGCATCCCCATCATCAGAATCAGACTCATCAGCATCATCACCTTCACATCATCAGCAGCATCCGCCTCGGCACCCGCATCATCGCCATCACCAAAATCATCGTACGCAGCAGTAGCATCCTCATCATCATCAGCAGTATCATCATCGGCATCACCAGGATAGGTAGCATCATCGTCATGAGCAGCATCATCAGAGTCGCCAGCCGTATCAGCATCAAGATCATCAGCATCATCCTCCTCATCAGCATCATCATCGTTACCCGCAGCATCACGATCACCATCAGAATCATCGTCGACATCAGCACCATCATCAAAATGATAAGCATCGACATTGCTAGCATAAACAGCATCATATGCAGTTTCATTATCAGAATAACATCGTCTGAAGCCTCATCGTCAGCAGCATCATCAGAGTGGCCATCCTCATCAGCATCAGCATCAGCATCATCAACATACTCCTCCTCATCAACATCCTCATCTGCATCCGCCTGCTCATCAGAAGCATCAGCGTCAGTAGCATCATAATTATCAGCAGCAGCAACATCATCAGAGTCGCCGTCATCATAGTCAGCATCCGCATCATCATCATCGTCGTCATCATCATCACCATCAACAACAACAGCATCATCATGATCATGATCCTAATCAACATCAGCCTCATCATCAGTAGCATCAGAAGCACCATCCGAAGCATCCTCGCCAGTAGAATCATCAGCAGCAGCATCATCAGACTTGTCATCATCATCCTCATCATCATCATCATCATCATCATCAGCGTCATCATCGTCATCATCATCACCATCATCATCATCATCATCATCATCATCATCATCATCGTCATCATCATCACCATCATCATCATCCCCGTCACCAGCATCAGCATCATCATAAACAGCCACAGCATCATCATCATCATCATCATCATCATCATCATCATCATCATCATAATCCACATCATCATCATCATCATCATCATCATCAGCATCATCATCACCACAATCCTCATCATCAGAATCAGCATCATCACCATGATCATCTTCATCCTCATAATCATCATCAGCATCCTCCTCCTCATCAACAACATCGGCCTCATCCTCCACATCATCATCATCATCATGACTACCATCAGCAGCATCATCACTGCCATTATCATCCCGATCCTGATCATGATGATCATCATCATCAATATCAACATCATCATCATCATCATCATCATCATCATCACATCATGGTCGTCATCATCACAAGCATCATCATCGTCTTCATCATCGTCGTCGTCCTCATCATTATCAGTAGCAGCAGCATCAGCATCATCATGATAATGATCATCATCATCGCCGTCGTCATCATCATGATGATTATCATTGTCATCATCCGTATCCTCCTCCTCCTCCTCTCCTCCTCCTCCTCCTCCTCCTCTTCCTCCTCCTCCCCCTCCTCCTCCTCCTCTGCCGCCTTGCAACGGAAGGCGCGGGCACCTCCCGGTGTCTACGGAATAGGGGATGTTGCTCTGAACGCCGCAGCAATACCCGAACAATGCAGTCTGTTGCGCCCCACCCACCCCACAACAGTTTGTTTAGAGGACCCTCTTCGGTGGGAGCCCCTTGGGCCCTTGGTCAATCTTGTTCAGGAACGTGGGTAGAGCCAGGTCAGGTTTGGGGCGTTTGGCTCAGGACATCCTCGGAATCTGCCTGGTCTGGCAACTGGTTTGGCCTTTGGTTCGGCCTGCTGTGGCTTGATTTGGCCTGGTTTGGCAGGGCACCCCGCCAGAGACATCCCCAAAATGTGTGCATGGTTTGGGCCCTGGTTTGGCCTGATTGGCGCCGGTTTTACCTGAAACGTCCTCGCAGGTTGCCTGGTTTGGCTTGGCTTCGGCGCAGTGTCACCTGGGACGTCCTCGCTATTTGCCGAGTTTGGCTTGATTTGGGCACGGTTTCACTGACGCTTCCTTCCCGTTTGCCTATATGGGCGTGGTCTGGGAGTGGTTTCGCCTGAGACGTCCTTACGACTTGCCTGGCTTGGCCTGGTTTGGACGCGGCTCGCTTGAGACATCCTCACAACTTGCTTGATATGTAATGATTCGGGCTGAGCTCCATGTGGACCAAAGTATACTGTGTAAGCTGAGTAGGTCGCGCAAGCTGCGTGGTGCAAACCCACATCGCCTCGCCCTTACAAACGAACGACCACCTGCAAGCCGGCGTTGGCCTGTGGACCGGCGTTGGGATAAAATCCCCCGAGCGTGTACGTGGGAGGGGCAGCAGTAAACAGCGTGAGCAGAGCTCTGCTCGGGGTCGAAGTCGATATTGAGAGCCACGACATGGTATTATGGGAGGTGGTTCGGGCAGCCGTCAGCCTCAGCCTCGGCTTCTCTCCTCCTCCTCCTCCTCCTCCTCCTCCTCCGCCTGCTCCTCCTCCTCCTCCTCCTCAGCATCATCATTGCTATTATTCATATTGATATGATGATGCTGTTGATAATGATAATGCTAAAAAACGGCAATGAACATGATAATGATACTGATAACGGTGATGGTAATGATGATGCGACTGGCAATGATAATGATAATGAGAATGATGCTGCTGATGATGATGAAGACGACGATGATGATGATCATCATTAGTAGTGGTAGCATTACTAGTAGTACTAGCATTCAGATTAGCAGTCTTATTCGTATTACTATTCTCAACATAAGATGCCTTCAACTCGGTGTTATCATCAGACGTCTGGTGTCTGTTGGGACTCGAGGAGCTCCCCAAGCAAACATACATCATTCATCAATATGTATCTACAAATATTGCATATACTGGCACAAACCATTAGAAGGAAGAAGACACAAAGAGAAAGAGAGAGAGAGAGAGAAAGAAACAAAAAACAAACAAATCCTACCATAGTCTACAGTCGCATCCTCGTCCTTCTCCTCCTCCTCCTCATCATCATCATCACTACCATCATCACCGCCACATTCACCATCAGAACCATCATCACCAACAGCATCATCATCTTCATCATCGTCATAATTACCAGAATCATCATCATCAGCATCGCCGTCATCATCAAAAACAGCATAATCCTCATCATCCTCATCATCGTCCTCATCATCATACTCATCATCAGCAGCAGCAGCAGAAACATGTTTTCCCTCCCTCCCTCCCACTCCTCCTCCTCCTTGGCGCCTTGCCCGGGCGCTCGGAGCTCGCCGGGGCATGCGGGTAGTCCGGCGAGAGGAGGTCGAGGACCCGCCCCCGGTAGATCTCCACGACCGCCAACCCGCGCCCGAGCGCACGGGGTCGCGGGCCCGGACGACGACGACGACGACGACGACGACGACGACGACGACGACGAAAACGACGACGCCGCCCACGTTGCAAGACCACGACGGCGGACGGCGCCTCCAGAACGCCGACGTCGGCGGCCCGCGACCAGCGACAACGGCAACCATGGCGACGGCCGGCGGCGCCAGGATCCGCACGTTGCGTTTTGTTGACACCTGGCGGTCCAGATCGATCCTGGTCGAAAGAGGCCACAGAAAGATGAGTTCTGGAGTTCCAGTCGTGATGTTTGTGACTCGCATCGTCGGATCTCAGGGTTCTCTCAGCCCTTCTCTGATTGGGTGCTCGTGTTGAATGCAACGTTCATGCTCCTCTCCTCCCGCTGCCTCCTTCTGCTCCCTCCCTGCTCTTGCCTCCTGCATGTCGCCAACCTCCCCTCCTGGGAGGTGGCTGATGCTGCCAACTGCGCAGCTGTCGACTCTTTTTGAAACCAGGGGGGTCCAGTGGTGTGAAGATTAGACATGTTACCTCCCTCCCTGGGCACTGAAAACCACGCAACTGTCGGTACTTTCGTGAGCTCCACGGTGGTCCTGCGGAGCGCGGTCCGAGTCGGATTAAAGAGTACCCCCCCCCGGGCGCTGCCAACTCCGCAGCTGCGCGCACGTTCGGAAGCTTCTTGGAATACAGCAGGGTGCGGTTCTACGCAGATCCAAGCTATTACCCTCCCTGGGCGCTGCATACCGCATAACTGCATCATTGTTGTGAGCTCTTTGGTTGTCCTGCGGAACGCGCTCCCATTCGGATCAGACTTGTTACCCCCCTCCCTGCGCGCTGCTGGCTGCGCAACCGTCGACACTTTCGGAAGCCCCTGGCGGGTCCAGCGGGTGAGTTTCGTTCTGATCTGAATTCTTACCCTCCACCCTGCGCGCTGTCAACTGCGCAACTGTCGGTCGGCACTTCCGTGAGCTTGTGGGGGGTCCAGTGGAATGCGGTCCTCTTCTGATCAGAAGTATTACCCTCCGCCATAGGCCCTGCCGACTGCACAATTGCTGGCATTTTGGGGGGTGGCCCTGGGAGGTCCAGCGGAGCGAGGTCCCATTCGAATCAAACTATTGACATCCCTCCCTGGCCGTTGCCACCTGTTCAACCTTCGGCACCTTCGGAAGCTCCTGGCAGGTCGACAGGAGTAGGGTCTTATTTCGAATCGAATTATCCCTCCCTAGACGCACCCTCGCCATGGGCGCTGTCAGCTGGGCAACTGCTGGCGCTTTCACGGGGTTGTGTGGGGTCGAGTGGGTGCGATCTTATTCAGATCCAGAATATCACCCCGCCCCTGGACGCCGAGGCGGGAAAAAATAAATAGAAGGAGAAATCATATATGAAAACAGGGAGGAAGCGAAAGACGAACGACGAGGAGGACAGCGACATTGCGGCGAGGGGGCGTGTAGTGAAAAGCCGGAAAAGGGCAAGGAATACAATCGAGAAGCCCCCCCTCAGATCCAGGCTGGCACAGGGTTCTATCTTTACCGAGACAGAGAAGAGACGGATGCCTCAGCACAAACTTCCGGAGGTCCGCGCGGGCCCCTTGGATCGACGATGGATCCCCCTTGCGGCGCATCTGGCGCCACCCGTCTCCCATCCCCCACCCCCCCGCTTCTCATCTTCATCCTCCCCCCACCCTCCTCGCGCGCGGCCGAGCGCGCCACAGTCCTCTCCACCAGGTCACCGCGGCCGCAGCGCGGGAGGTCAGCGTCGCAGCTGGACGCGCTCGCGCGGCGGTGACGAGGGCCATTGCCTCGTGCTGGGCGAGAGCTCGCCCCACCTGGCTCCCCAACCCTCTGGTTTCACCCGCGTGCTTCCACCACCCGCATGTCTCCTCCTCATGCTCCCCCCATTCTCCTCATCCTTCCCCCACCCTCCTCTCGCCTCCCCTCCTCCTCCCTCCTACTCCCTCCTCCTCCCCATTGTTCCTTCCTCCTCATCCTTCCCCAAGTGCCCTGGAACTTACGAATGTGTGGTTAGTGTTGCTACCATTCCATGATGTATACTTCACTGCTGTAGTAAGGTAGGGCGCGTGAGATGCGTGCGTCAGGCCGACGCTCACAGGTTGCCAACCCACGGGCAAGACTTCTTCCTCTTGCACCGCATCCCCGTCATTATCAGATTATCCCGCCATCGACGTATATCATTTTCTGGAGGAGACGGAACTGATGTGGAGTATTGATGCGAATGCGCAGGATGGAGACGAAGAGGTGAAGACGCCTTCTCCGTACGCACCCTCCTCACTCATTCTCCAAATCCCCCCATCATGACTACGCCGACTCCCCGTCGTGGAGGGAAATAGAAACCGGGCGAACGCAACGAAGGGGAAGAGAATGGATGACGGCAATGACGAGGATGATGGTGACGACGGCGATGAGAATGGAGATGGGGATGAGGAAGGACTAGGAATATGCGGAATTCAATCGTGTGGCGAATCTGAAAAACGGGGGTTCGAATTGATGTCAGTCTCCTACTCCTCCATCCTCGACAGTTGTTTACTCTTCTGGGGACAGAAGGGTGCGTTTGCGATACCGTCTGCGGTGAGCGCGAGTGGTAGGGAGGAAGCGGGCGATGATGATGATGTGATGATTGAGATGCTGGTGATGCTGATGATGGTGATGATGTGATGATGGTGGTGAGGATGATGGTGATGATGATGATGATGCTGCTGATGATGATGTTGATGATGATGATGTTGATGATGATGATGATGCTGATGATGATGATGATGATGATGATGATGATAATGATGATGATGATGATGATGATGATGATGATGGTGGCGTTGGTGATGGTGACGATGATGGGACTGAGACGGAAAGAAACACAGAGAGGAGGCCGATCATTGCATGGAGGATATGCTGCAGAAGAAATCCGAGATGATACGCGACGGACGAGGAGCATGATGCACCCCTCCACCCCTCCTTCCATCTCCACATACCTCATCATCATAGGATAAACGATGAGAGATACAACGAAGGAGAATATAAGGAGAAAGTCAATCCCATCCTGGCCCTCCCCCGTTATCAGCATTCTCCCCCTGCCCCCTCTTCCACAATTCCTTTCCATTAGCATCCATACCTTGCTCTCATAGCTCGTCCTCCCCATTCCCCGTCTCCATATCCAGTTCCTCTTCCCCGTCCTCTCACAAAGCATTGGTCGGAGGATGAGGAAGGGGTGGAGGAGGCGGATGGGGGTGGGGGTGACAAGGGATCGGCTCCGCATATCCCTCTTTCTCTTCATCGCCATCTTCGTTCCACCGTCTCCTCCTATCACCCCTCATCCTCGTCGCGCGTCGTCTTCCATCGTGGAGTCGTGCAGAAAGAAAAGGCGCGTGCAGCAAGGAAGGCGGGGGGGGGCAGATAGTGCCGAAGAGCTGGAAGGCCCAGTCGTTATGTGCACCCCCTCTTCACCCGAGGTTGCGGAGGAGGAGGAAGAGAACAACGACGACGAACTTGATGGGGACGAGGGGGATGGTGAAGAGTACAATAATGTTATTCCTGCACTGTCACAGTAATCTTCATTCTGATCGCCACCCACCCTGAAAAACATCATGCGTATGTCGTTTTCTCGGTGGGGAAGGGCGACACAGAACCCAATGAGGACCATGACAAAGGAGGAAGACGACGAGGAAGACGATGATAGCGATGATGCTCACTGTGCGAAGGAGGACAAAGGGGGAGAAGGGTAAGGAAGAGGTGGGAGAGGATGACCGTCAAAACAGAAAGGCGGGAGAGAACGGGGCAGGAGGAGATCGCGAGGTGCGTGAAAAGATGGTGGATGCTAAGGAAGATGAGGATGAGGACAACGCGGGAGAGGAGGGAGAGAAGAACGAGCAAACGCAAGGAGGACAACCCAACAGAACACAAACCAATCAACCAATTTGGAAAACAAACTACGGAAACATGGTTTGCGACGGCCTTGCAAAAAAAAGAACGGGGGGGGGACGTTCGCTTGGCGGCCGTACATAATAGTTCCTGGTGCGGCGGCCTTGCGACAACGCTTCTGCATGGCAGTCTTGCAAAAAGATCTTCGTGCTGTGGCGGCGTTAGAAATAAATTCCTAGTTGGGTGGCGGCCTTACAACAAGTGTCCGCTTGACGGTCTTGAACGCTTCTGCATGGCGGCCTTGCAAAAGGGTGTTCGTGCTGTGGCGGCGTGAGAGGAAGATTCCTGTATGGTGGCGGCCTTACAAAAGGATAACCGTGTCTCGCACTTGCGTTGCAGTAGAATCACCTCCGCACTGGCCAGTATCAATTAAACCTAAGCATGTTATTATTGAAGCGGCCTCGCAACATTATTTCCCAACCATCCTGTGGTGTTGGGTCCTCGTTTTGAAGAGGCAGCGCCCTGCGTTCCTCACTCCCTCCCTCCCTCCCCCCTCCCACTCCTCCCCCTCCCCCCTCCTCCCTGCGGATCACCCACCAGTACAGCGTTTCGTGGCCCCACAGGGAGCTCGACCGAAAGCGCCAGTGCCACCGCCCGCATGCGCCCCGAACCACCCAGTTCAGCGCTGCGTGGACCCATCGGGAGCTCCACCGAAGACCCCATTGCCACCGCCCGCATGCGTCCCGAAACATCAGCGTTGGCAACCTCACCCACCCATTGCAGCGTTTGCTGGCCCCATTGGGAGCCCCACCGAAGGCCCCAGTGCCACAGTCCGCATGCGCCCCGCAACATCAAAGTTGGCATTTTCACCTACCCAGTACAGCGCTTGGTGGCCCCATGAGGGGGCTCCACCGAAGGTCCCAGCGCCACCATCCGCATGCGCCCCGAAACATCAAATTTGGCAGCTTCACCCACCAACTACACCGTGCCGTGGCCCCACAGGGGGCTCCACCGAAGACCCCAGTGCCACCGTCCGCATGCGCCCCGAAACATCCAATTCGGCAGCTCCACCCACCAACTACACCGCGCCGTGGCCCCATAGGGAGCCCCACCGAAGACCTCAGTGCCACCGTCCGCATGCGCCCGAACCCACTACACCGCTTCGTGGCCCCATAGGGAGCTCCACCGAAGGCCCCAGTGCCACCGCCCGCATGCGCCCCGAAGCATCCAATTTGGCAGTTTCACCCTCCCAGTACAGCGCTGCGTGGACCCATAGGGAGCTCCACCGAAGGCCTCAGTGCCACCGTCCGCATGCGCACCGAAACATCAAATTTGGCAGTTTCACCTACCCAGTACAGCGCTTGGTGGCCCCATAGGGGGCTCCACCGAAGGCCCCAGCGCCACCGTCCGCATGCGCCCCGAAACATCAAATTTGGCAGTTTCACCCACCCACTACAGCGCTTTGTGGCCCCATAGGGAGCTTCACCGAAGGCCCCAGTGCCACCGTCCGCATGCGCCCCGAAACATCCAATTTGGCAGCTTCACCCACCCAGTACAGCGCTGCGTGGCCCCATAGGGAGCTCCACCGAAGGCCCCAGTGCCACCGTCCGCATGCGCCCCGAAACATCCAATTTGGCATATTCACCCACCAACTACACCATGCCGTGGCCCCACAGGTGGCTCCACCGAAGGCCCCAGTGCCACCGTCCGCATGCGCCCGAACCCACTACACCGCTTCGCGGCTCCATAGGGAGCTCCACCGAAGGCCCCAGTGCCACCGTCCGCATGCGCCCCGAAGCCTCCAATTTGGCAGTTTCACCCTCCCAGCACAGCGCTGCGTGGACCCATAGGGAGCTCCACCGAAGGCCACAGTGCCACCGTCCGCGTGCGCCCCGAAACATCAAATTTGGCAGTTTCACCTACCCAGTACAGCGCTTGGTGGCCCCATAGGGGGCTCCACCGAAGGCCCCAGCGCCACCGTCCGCATGCGCCCCGAAACATCAAATTTGGCAGTTTCACCCACCCACTACAGCGCTTTGTGGCCCCATAGGGAGCTTCACCGAAGCCACCAATGGGACCGCCCGCATGCGTCCCACACACCCGATTTGATATGTTCACCCACCAAGTACAGCGCTTCGTGGCCCCACAGGGAGCTCCACCGACGGCCCCAGTGCACCGACGTCCCCAGTTCTACCGCCCGCATGCGCTAGGAAGCTTCACCGAAGAAGATATTTACATTTGCGGTATCCACAACTGCATACGGCTGGGTCCTTCGCCAGTATATGTTTTGCGGCGGCATTACAAGATATTAAAACTTATGGCGGCCGTGAGCACGGATTGTTCTGCGGTGGTCGTGCAGAAGGGTTCTCTGTGTGGCGGTCTTACATAACAAGTTATGTTTCGTGGCAGTCTTACATACACGATTATCTTCGTGATGGCCTTACGAGACGATGTCGGGTGGTGACCGCAGTAGAAAAGGAGTCCTTGTTGAGGCGGCCGTACAAGAATATGCCCTTTTGTGGCAGCCTCACAAGAGGGTACTCTTCTGAGCAACCGTATGACAGTGTTCTCTTGCCCGGTAGCCTTACAAAGGGCTCCTTTCGTGGCGGCCTTACACAAGGAATTCTTGCGCAACGGATTTCCATACTCTTCTCTTGGTGGACCTGGCAAGAAGGAAATGTTTGCTACAGCCTTACAAGAGGATGTCCTCGCGCAATGGCCTTCCAACATGACGTCCTTGTATGTCATCCTTACAGAAGGATGTCATATTGTGGCGGCCATCTAAAAGGATGTCCCTTTGTGGCGGCCTTACACAAGAAAGTATTGTGTTGCACACTTGCACAACATGTGTTCCTCTGTGGCCCTTGCGAAAGGGATTATATGTGCGACAGCCTTGCGGAAGGATGCCCTTGGATAGCGGCCTTAGACATGGATGTCTTTCTTATGGCGGCCTTACAAAAGGATGTCCGTTTGGCATATATTGCAGAAGAATGTCCTGCTGTGGCGGCCTTACAACAGGATGCCCCTTTTTGTGGCGACCTGACGAAATGATGTCTTATTGCGACGGCATTACAAAAAGATGTCCTTCTGTGGCGGACTTACACATTGTCTCGTTTTTGTGGTGACCTTACGCAAGGAGTCTTGTATCGGATACCAAGACAAACCAACTACTAAATAAACGGCACATGTTTTAAATCAACGAAATTGTGGAACACTGCAACAGAACGCTGCGACACAAAACGTGTTCAGCAATCGAAGCTCGCAAACGTTACGTGTTAAAGCGCGCTGGAACTCGGATTGCTGGAAAGGCTGTGTTTCACTGCACTCGGGAGATCCGATTGCTGGAAGCGCTGTGTTTATAAAAGGCTTAGGACGCTCTGGTTGTTTAAAACGATTTGTTTAATATTGTTACACTGCTCCGATTGCTGAAAACACACACACACACACACACACACACACACACACGCACACACAATGTTTCTCAACGCTTTGGAAATCCGATGATTGAAAGCATTGCGATCGCACTGGTTTTAGCCTCTGGCTCCGAAATGATTGCAAACACAACTGGTTCCACCGTTTTCTCAGAGGTGGCAAAGATGTTCTGATGTGGCAAGTGGTTTCTGAATGTGTCCACCACAAGAAAATCGTTACGCAAGCCCGCCACGAAAGGAAATCCTTTCGCATGGCCGACACATGAGGAACTCTTTGTGTAAGGCCTCACAAAAAATATTGTGTGATGTGGCCGCAAAAGAAAATCCTTGTTGTAAGGCCGCCACAGAAGAAAGTCCTATTGTAAGGCTGCCACAGCGGCTGCCACAGAAAGGAATCGAAGGAAGTCGGTTTGTAAAACCGCCACGGAGGGACTCGTTGTTGCAAGGCTCCTAAGAAGGACGGCAACGTACAAAGCAGCCACCAAGAGACCGCCCTCTTCGAAGATGCTGAACCATGCAGCTTCCTGGTGTACGTCCATGAACGTTAGCAAGTTGGCCTGAAACTGCTCTGTTCCAGGACACACTTGCTTAAGTCCTTGCTTCCCCCGCCCCTGCCTCCTCCTCCTCCTCCTCCTCCCCCCGCCCTCCCGTCTCCTCGTCATGCTCCCCCCCCCTCTCCCCTCACACTGCGCGGCGGCGGCGCCAGCCGGGCCGCATAGGAGGCGCACACGCGCCGCCCCGTGGCGGCGCCGAGCAGCTCCTGGAGGACCGTCGACGTCGTCGTCGTCGTCGTCGTCGCCGCCGTCGCCGTCGTCGTCGTCGTCGTCGTCGTCGTCCTCCTCCTCGTCGTCGCCGTCGCCGTCGCCGTCGCCATCGCCGTCACCGTCTCGGGCGCCGCGGCATTCTCAGAGCGTTCCAGCACGCTCTGAGAGCGTACCGTAACGCTCTGGAACGGGTTAATCCTCGTCCTAGCCCCGCCCGAAAAAGGCAGGCTAGCCTGGCGAACTGTCTAACACTGTGCACCTGTGCAGCTGCGTGTAGAGCGGGGCGCGCCCCCCTCCTCATGATGTGCTGCTTGCCGCGGGAGGGGCGGAGTCTAGGGGTATGTGGATGGGCGGCCGCGGAGCAGGCGCGCAACCGCGCGCTCGGCTCCCTACGTCCGCTGGGCCGGACGAAGGGGGGGATAGCAGAGAGGTAGCGAAGTGGCTTTCGAAGCAAGGGTTCCCCCAGCGCCTCCCGGCGCTGGGGGCGCCAAGCTGTAGAGCAAAGGGTGTGGCGGCGGAGACGAACCAAGCTGCACGCAGCAGATGTCGTACCCCCGCCTTGCTCAGTCATCCCCTCTCGGCCGACCTAAGCATGGAGTACGATCTGTATGAGGGCTGCGCCGAACTGAGCTGGGGGCCACATGCGATACCATGAGCTGACGTCCAGTGTCGTATCACATCGAGGGACCTAGGTCACCTGTCTTCGCGCATCGCGCCCCGCGATGGGCGACGAGCGGTTATCGTCGCGCAACCATTCTGAGGCAGCTGTCCGGCCGAGGCCGCGACGCGCAAAGCGCGATTATCTTCGAGGCCGTGCGGGGAATGCGCCCACGGCGGGATCGAAGCCAGCTGCATGTAGCAGATGCCGTGCCCGGGATCAGCCTGAGCAGACCGAGGTGTCAAAATCCGTCGTCCCCCACTAGCCGGGGGTGGAAAGGGGAGTGAGAGACATTTCGCTGTCTCCCTCCCCATTTCCCCCTCCCCTGGGGTCCAAAATGCTGTTTTAGAAGGGGGGTACGAGCTCGCCAACGCACCCCTGGGGCCTCTGGAGCCTCCAAAAAGCTCCAAGAGGGCCCAGACAGAGCGCCAGGACAGTCGAAGAGAGCGTCGAGACGGCCCAGAGTGGCCCCACGACGACCCAAGTTGACTTCAAGGAGTGCCCAGAAGGCCCCCAAGACAGCCCACAAGCGTTCCAAGAGGACCGACGAGAAGGCCCCAAGAGGCAACAATCGCCCCATTCCAATTGAGGCAACGTCCATTTTTGACACACACACACACAACAAAAGCACATATACACACACACAAACAAACAAACAAACAAACAAACAAACAAACAAACAAACAAACAAACAAACATACACAAACATATATACACACACACACGCACACGCACACGCACACGCACACGCACACGCACACACGCGCGCACGCCTTGTTCGTCTTGACAGTTTCGCAGACTGCCTAAGGGACCCCCAAGATCGTCACGAGACGGCCGATGAGGCCCCCAAGGTGGCCCCAAGACAGCCCAAGAGGGTGAGTCGGCCCCAGGGGCCCCCAAGACGGCCCAAGAGAGCCCAAGAGGGGAAACACGAACTGAAATTTCGAGCCTTTCTTCCAAAGACGGCCCCAAGAGCCCCTGAGAGGCACCCGAGTCGCCCCCAAGAAGCCCCCAAGAGGCCCCCAAGAGGCCCCAAAAAGCTTCCCAAGTGCACCGAAGAACCCACCAAGAGGCCCTTGAGAGGCATCCCAAGAGACCTGCATATTCATGCAAGAGGCTCCTGACCCACAGCCCAAGCACGGTGGCGGGTTGGGCCGAAGGCCACTCGATCCGCCGCCCCCTTTTGCTTTAGCAAAGGGGAGCCTGGCGTGCTGAACCCTCTAGGTTTTGGTTCTTTTTCCAAAAGAACTCCCCCTGGGGCTTCGGCCGTCCCGCCGGCCACCCGGAAGACGCTCAATTCCCCAATCTCGTCGGCTTTTTCGCTCAAGATGGCCGAAGATGGCCTCCAAGATGCCTCCAAGTCCGCCCAAGATGATCCAAGACGGCCTCCAAGACGGCCCAAGAGAGTCCAAGACGGCCCAAGACGGCCCAAGAGGCCCCCCAGAGGCCTCCAAGACGGCCCAAGAGGCCTCCAAGAGGTCCTCCAGGAGGGCCCAAAGAGGCCAAAATCATTGATTGTCCTTAGGTTTTTGAAGGATTTTGGAATTTGCTTCTTCTCGACATTCCGACGGCTCAAGACGGCCCAAGAGGCCCCCAAGATCGCCCAAGAGGCCCCCAAGAGAGCCCCATGACGGCCCAAGTGGCATCCAAGACGGCCCCAAGAGGGCCCCAAGACGGCCCAAGAGGCCTCCAACACGCCCAAGATGGCCTCCAAGACGCCCAAGATGGCCTCCAAGACGGCCCCGAAGCGCCCCAAGAGGGCCCCCAGTCGGCCCAGAAAGGCCCCCAAGACGGCTCCCGACGGCGTCAAACGTGCCAGGAACCCACCAAGATGGCCGAAGTTGGCTCGAAGCTGGCCCAAGATGGCCCAAGAGGCCCCCAAGAGGGCCTCCAGGAAGGCCAGAAGAGGCCGAAGACATTGATTTTCCTATGGTTTTTGACGGATTTTGGCATGTGCTTCTTTTCGGCCTTCCGACGGCCCGAGACGGCCCAAGAGCCCCCAAAGATCGCCGAAAGATCGCCCAAGAGGTCTCCAAGACGGCCCCAAAACGGCCCAAGAGGACCCCAAGACGGCCCCAAGAGGCCCCCAAGACGGCACAGGAGGCTTTTAAGACGCCCAAGATGGCCTCCAAGACGGCCCTGGAGCATTCCAAGAGGGGCCCAAGTCGGCCCATAGAGGCCCCCCAAACGGCTTCCGACGGCGTCAGACGGACCAGGAGCCCACCAAGACGGCCGAACATGGCCCTAAGATGGCCCAAGAGGCCTCCAAGAGGGCCCCCAGGAAGACCCGAAAAGGCCAAAATCATTGATTTCCAATGGGTTTTTGAAGGATTGTGGCGTTTGCTCTTTTCTGCCTTCCGACGGCCCGAGACGGCCCAAGTGCCCCCAAAGATCGCCCAAGAGGCCAAGACACGGCCCCAAGAGGCCCCCAAGACGGCCCAGGAGGTCTCCAAGACGCTCAAGATGGCCTCCAAGACGGTCCAAGAGCCCTCCGAGATGTCCTCAAAGAAGGCCCGAAAGGGTCAAAATGGTCTCCAGACGGCCAAGATGACCTTCAAGATGCCCACGTGTTCCCCGAAGGCTTTCCAAACCGATTCGGGGAACACGTGGTCCGATAGCTTGGCAGGTCCGGCCTCAACGTTCGGCCACATAGGCGCTTCCAAAAAGGCAGGGGGCGGCGGTGATTCGCCGTAGGCGTCTTCGATCAGCCGCGCCCTGTTGATTCATCACAGGAGTGCCTGGCGTGCTAGATCCTTTGGGTTTGGGCTTTGGTTCTTTCTCCAAAAGAACTCCCCCTGGAGGCTTCGGCCCAGCCCGCCAGGGTCCCGGAAGGTTACCGAATATCCGTCTGCCAATGCCTTTCTTGCTCCAAGATGGCCTACGATGGCCTCCAAGACGGCCAAGATAGCCCAGTATGGCCTCCAAGATGCCTCAAAGATGGCCAAGATGGCCTCCAAGACGGCTAAGATGGTCCCAAGATGCACCCAAGACGGCCCCAGATGGCCTCAACATGGTCTGAGACGGCCCACAGGAAGGCCCGCAAGTCCGCAAGGGGACAAATCATTGATGCTCCTTTGGATTTTGAAGGATTGTTACATATTCTTCTTTTCAGCTCTCCGACGGCCCAACACGGCCAAAGAGGCCCCCAACATCGCCCCAAGAGCGCCCAAGAGGCCTCCATGATGGCCCCATGACAGCCCAAGAGGCCCCCATGAGGGCCCCAAGAAGGCCGCAAGACGGCCCACAAGGCCCCCAAGACGCCCAAGATGGCATCCAAGATGGCCAAGATTGCCTCCAAGATGCCTTCAAGACTGCAAGCATGGCCTCCAAGACGGCTACGATGGCTCCAAGATGCACCCAAGACGGCCCAAGATGGCCTCAGGATGGTCTAAGACGGACCCAAAGACACGCAAGAGACCTCCAAGACGGGACCTCCAAGACGGCCCAAGAGCTCCCCAAGACGTCCTCCAGGAAGGCCCGAAAGGGTCAAAATCAGTGACGTCTTTGGTTTTTGAATGGTTATTGCACTTTCTTCTTTTCAGATCTCCGACAGCCCCAGACGGCCCAAGAGGCCCTCAACATCGCCCCAAGAGCGCCCAAGAGGCCTCCAAAATGGTCTCATGACAGCCCAAGAGGCCTCCAAGAGGGCCCCCAGAAGGCCCCAAAACGGCCCAAGAGGCCCCCAAGACGCCCAAGATGGCCTCCAAGACGTCCAAGATGACATCCAAGATGCCTCCAAGGCGGTCAAGATGGCCTCCAAGACGGCTAAAATCGCTCCAAGGTGCACCCAAGACGGCCAAAGATGGCCTCAAGATAGTCTACGACGGCCGAAAAGGTCCGCAAGAGGCCTCCAGGACGGCCCCAGAGCTCTTCAAGACATCCTCCAGGAAGCCCGAAAGAGCGAAAATCATTGAGCTTCCATTGGTCGTTGAAGGATTTTGGCATGTTCTTCGTTTCAGCTCTCCGACGGCCCAAGACGACCCAAGAGGCCCCACAACATCGTTCAAGAGAGCCCGAGAGGCCTCCAAGATGGCCCCATGACAGCCCAAGAGGCCTCCAAGAGGGCCCCAAGAAGGCCCCAAGACGGCCTAAGAGGCTTCCCAGACGCCCAAGATGGCCTCCAAGACGTCCAAGATGGCATCCAAGATGCCTCCAAGACGGCCAAGAGGGCTTCCAAGACGGTTACGATGGCTCCAAGATGCACCCAAGACGGCTCAAGGTGGCCTAAGGCGGCCCAAAAGGCCCGCAAGAGGCCTCCAAGACGGCCCAAAAGGCCTCCAAGACGTCCTCCAGGAGGGCCCGAAGAAGCCAAATAATTGCTTGTCCTGAAGTTTTTGAGAGATTTTGGCATGTGCTCCTGTTGGCCCTTCGACGGTCCAAGACGGCCCCCAAGAGACCCCTTAGGATCGCCCAAGATCGCCCTAAAGGTTCCTAGATGACCCCATGACGGCTCACTCTCCTCCTCTTCCCCGTCCTTCCCCACGTGTTCCCCGAAGGCTTTCCAAACTGATTCGGGGAACACATGGTCCGATAGCTTGGCAGGGCTCTGGCCTCAACGTTCGGCCACATAGGCGCTTCCGAAAGGGCAGGGGGCGGCGGTGACTCGCCGTAGGCGTCTTCGATAACTCCCACGATCGTCGCTAGCTCTGATTGCTTCTGGGGGTTGACGTAATGGCGTAAGCCACTTGAATAAATGCCTGCGCGGATCATTTGGTATGGGAGCCTCTTGGCAGCTTAATTGGGCCATCTTGGGACCATGTGGGGGGGCCATTTGGGATACCTTTGGCGCTCTCTTGGGGCCCTCTGGGGGCCTTGGAGGCCCTCTGAGGGGCCATCTTCGAGGCCAGTACTCAAAGAAGAGGGGGTGGATAACTAGTCACGGCCCTCTCGTCGGAGGCCGAACAGATCCCTCTCGGGGCCCTCTCGGGGCTCTGTTGAGCTGCTGTCTTGGAGCCATCTTGAGGCGTCAGAAGCCCACACCCCTTCTGGTCCGACCCCACCTGCCTGAACCATGGGTCGGCTACGCGCAGGAGTGGCCCTGGGCAAAAGCGGCCTTTGGTGCGCGGCCTGGAGGGGGGCGCGTGGGGGGCCAGACCCAAGCACATAGGCCGCTGCCATCGCATCGCATGCAGCGATCGGAGAACGCCAGTGGGCCCGCAGCAAAGGTCACTCCGGCGAAGGCTCACTCCTGCGCGTCATCGAATGGGGTGGGGGCCCGTTGAGGCCGGCTGGGGCTGCATCTGGGGCAGGCGGCCTGCCTGCGCGCGGCCCCCGGCCTTGCTAGGAGGGCGTCACGGCTCCACGGCGGGGCCTCCATCCGCACCCACCAGCTTGGAGACCTCACCCCCGAGGCACACACGGATGGCCATCTGCGACGGCGAGGGCAATTGATGAGAAACCATTGGATCAGGAATCCAGGGTCTGAAGGCGGGTGAGATTCCACTCGAGGCTTGGCCGTGGTTGTCACCGTCGCCCTCATCATAGAAGGAATTCTCCAGGGCCTGCGGCATCCAAGGCATATTCCTTCACGAACGCCCCCACCGTATGGGCTGCGCTGGCCCAGATGGCGGAGAGAGCGGATCTCGCTGGGCCGAATGCGTTGGATCTTGGTCTCCTGCACGCGGCGCCACATGACGGTGTCTGGCCGCTCTCGGCCTCACGGGGCCACCTCTGGGACCCATGCACGGCCGCCAATAAGCGGCTCGGCATGACGATCCGATCCCCGGAGAGGGGTCCAGACATCTGTGGATGAACACCAAAAATCATCATATATTCTGGAGGTCCTCGCGGACTTCTTGGATCTCCGCTGGACCCCCCCAATCCCTGGCGCGCTGAGCGCGCCAGGGTTGGCTCCAGAGGCGCCTCCAGGTGGACCCAGCGCGATCCATAAGGTCCGCGCGGAGCCACCGAAACGTTATGTTTATGCAGCTTTTCTGATACGATCCTCTGCCCCACTCCTCCCCTCTCCCTCTCATCCTCCTCCTCCTCCTCCTCCTCCTCCCCCTCCTCCGCCTCCTCCCTCCTCGTCCTCGTCCTCCATCTCCTCCTCCTCCTCCTCCTCCTCCTCCTCCTCCTCCTCCTCCTCCTCCTCCTCCCTCCTCCTCCTCCTCCTCCTCCTCCTCCTCCTCCTCCCTCCTCCTCCTACCTCCCCCCCCTCCTCCTCCCTCCTCCTCCCTCCTCCTCCTCCTCCTCCTCCTCCTCCTTCCTCCTCCTCCCCCTCCTCCTCCTCCTCCTCCTCCTCCTCCTCCTCCTCCTCCAAGGGGGGAGGGGTGCTCCTGCCTCCTCCTCCTCTCCTGCCTCCCTCCTCCTCCTCCCCTCCTCCTCCTCCATCCTCCTCCTCCTCCTCCTCCTCCTCCTCCCTCCTCCTCCTCCTCCTCCTCCTCCTCCTCCTCCTCCTCCTCCTCCTCCTCCTCCTCCTCCTCTCCTCCTCCTCCTCCTCCTTCCTCCTCCTCCTCCTCCTCCCCCCCCCTCCCTCCTCCTCCTCCTCCTCCTCCTCCTCCTCCTCCTCCTCCTCCTCCCTCCCCCTCCTCCTCCTCCTCCTCCTCCTCCTCCGCCCTCCTCCTCCTCCTCCTCCTTCCTCCTCCTCCTCCCCCTCCTCCTCCTCCTCCTCCTCCACCTCCTCCTACCTCCTCTCCTCCTCCTCCTCCTCCTCCTCCTCCGCCTCCTCCTCCCTCCTCCTCCTCTCCTTCCTCCTCCCTCCTCCTCCTCCTCCTCCTCCTCCTCCTCCTCCTAGTCCTCCTCCTCCTCCTCCTCCTCCTGGTCGAGGGAAGGGGTCCAGACCACTGGGGAGCCGCCTTGTGAAGAACATCGCGGCGTCGGCTGAGTGGGGGCCTGCGCGCGCCCTGCAAGCTACGGGGATCCTGCAGGGCCCTGGGCACGATGCCGAAGTCCGCGGGGCCCGCAGCTGCGCCGACACCTTCCGGCGCCGCGCACGGTGGGGGTGGGCGACGGTCACGGAGAGGCCAGCTTCATACCGCGCTGGCATCGGCGATATTTCCACGACCGCGAATCCACAATGATCTCGAGAAGAGATCGGCGGTGACACACTCGACGCCCAACGCCCAGTAGAACACGTGCGCCGCAGGGCATCCAAGCACCGAGTAGAATTCAGCCCATGGAGGAAACGACAGAGCGAATGCGGTGTTGTGAACTCTGGCCCACGTTCCTTCGTGTCTTCGCACGTCATGCTGTAAGACGTGAGACGCATGTTGATATCCTGGCATCGCGCTGGGGAGCCCGAGCGCAAGCGCAGAGGCAAAACGCATGCGCATCACACCCCGCACGCGGACACAAACAGCAGCAGGGGCGAGGCTAGGTGCGGGCACCCCCTGAGCGTGGGGAGGTGGGGTGGTCAGGCGGTGGGGGAAAAGCGCGAAGCGTAGGAGCACCAGGCGGGGGAAGAGGAAGAAGGGAAGGCAAAGAAGCAAGACAAGAAAGTGGAGGCGTAGGAAATACACAGTTCCATGAGCGGGGGGGGAGGTCCAACGCCTGTCCTTGCAGCAGCTGGGCGGCAGCACCTGAGAGATTTGCTACCGCGCGGGCTCAAGTGGAGGCATAGGAAGAGGAGGGAGGAACGTGCG